GTACAATTTTTGAAATAACAAAAAAAAACGTTTATCTCTGTTACTATTTCCGACGAAAGTTCGTCTGCACCTCCTACGATTTTCATAACAACAAACGACCATTCGATATTTTTGTCCTTCACACCGAGACACTAATACACTAGGTAAGAGACGTAGATTTTGGACGTAAGCCGACTACATTCTAAAAACAAAACTACTATTGCTACTTTTTTCATATTTTATTTTTTTTGTCAAACCGAAGTCTGGTCATTCAGGATATACGGTTTCGGTATAATTCGAGTCCCTGTTGGAAATTCTCTGCTCGTCGACAGCAATGTGACAGTTTACGAACTACACACCGAAATACATAGTCGACCTTGGTAAAAAAACAACGAAGAATTTTGAACAGGAAGTCATTTTTAAAATCGGGATTTTTTATTCTTAATTTATTCAACATGTTAATTATATTAACACGGCATGATGTATTTGTATAACGTACACACACGTATGGTTAAGTTATTTTTAACAAGACATAGATAAGAGAGTAGTTTTTTGTTTTCAACATAATTATTCATCGTATTACTATAATACGTCTCGAGACAGTTGAAACCGTTTTTTTTTAAATTAAATAAACTTGTTTTCATTATGTATTTACAGTGTCGTATTAGCAAATCAGGATAAAAAGTATTTCAATAAAATATTAGTATCCAAGAAAGTACATATTATGTAAATAATCAGATATTTAAAATATTATAACCCTATACTGTTTACTTTTAATGTACTATATTTTATATACCTGAGTATATTTGTAAATTAATGTAAATTCATTAACCATTAGTATTGGCCATAGATGACGGGTTTTTGCTTTGAAGACATGGCTGCAGAGAAATGTGATACATAATAATATACCAAATATTATTTGACTATAAAAAAAAAATAACAAGGAGTACAATTTTTCCAATAGTATACCCGCAGTAAATGTTGTCATTAATACATACAAAGTTTATATTATGGTTACACATATGAAGTACACCTAGAACACACTATTATTCAAATCCATGGTTTTTATAGATGTCGATAACGAGATGTATAAAACTGTTGAAGAACCAATTTATTATAATTTGTATGACTACAATAGGTCTGCAGATGGTTTTGTACCTATTATTTTTCCGTATTGTATAGATTAATTCAGTTACTTAAGTTCAACTTTAAATTCCCATTGTTTCTTAATACATGCGTATTTTGCTAAATGTGTAAATTAAAAACTACCATCGCGTATCTTTGAAAAGTTTCTAATTATCAATTCAAAGTTTTCGGTTTCATTCAAATGTATTTCTAAACTTTCCTCCTTAATTACGTTTAAGATGTGTATAGGTGCTTTTGTTTGATTTAAGGTATTGCCTTCTGGTCCTTAACTGTTGGTTAGAAATTAGAAATCATGGTGAAAATCTAACGCGGTGACAAAATGTATTAGTAAAAATAATTTAATATTATATTATAAAACACTTTTTTACATCGGCTGGCTGGTCGTTTAATTGTATTTAAATTACTACACAAAAATCGAGTGAAAGTTTAATGGTTTTATATTAATATTTAATATAGAATTTATAATATATACATACATTAAACATAACAAAATATATTACGTACATCATATTATATACATACAGGTTAAGTCAAGTCTATATTATTATTATATGATATGTACTAGTGCAAATAGTGCAATAGCTATTAGAAATATTGAAATCAGATCCGACCCGTTATTTGTTTTTCTTATCAGTCACTAGATCATGGCTAGGGGCTTTAATTAATTAGCGCATCAGCTTTGCGTTGAATTCTGTGACTGGAAAATGCATTTCGTCCGGATGGCTTGTATTATGTATGATTATACCGATCTTATCTAAAAATAACTATCCAACGGTTGTTCTTGAGTTATACTAGGTCACGTAACCATAGTTACCGAACGTGGTGTATGAACATCATATTATATTATAGTGTGTTTTGGGGCTGGAGGTGTTATCGAGTGTGTAACGGGTCGTGGAAAAAAGTTTGCTCATAAATGTGAAATTACGGTGTGTATGAAATAACTTCGAAACAAATAAAAATCAAAGACGAATTTATCATCTTGTATCCGTACATCCTACACATGCATCGTTAACAAATGCTTTATATCATCGGATTGATGTGTCGACTTACACCGCGGTCGATATAATATACGAGAAAATAATCAATTGAACTCGAATGATTTTTGATTAGAATTTTCAAATTTACAAAACGCGTGTTATTATTAAATATTGAATGTTGATACAACGTTAAGCGTAGTACCACTCACATATATTCGTATCAAACTTATCTAATTTGTTTGAAATATATTTTACAAAAATACATTTCAGATGAATAAAATAATTAAATATAATCAATACTCATGTAAATAATTTGCACTTCGAAAAAAATCCTATCTACATTAAATGTACACAATCATTATATGGATTTAAGTGTCTTACACTACATGATTCATTACACATACATATCATTGAACAATCGTTCTAATTTTATCAAAGTGACAACTTGTGTTGTATACGGTGGTAGATTATGTACAATTAAACGACGTTTTCACAATGTTTTGAATTGAATAATCTGAGAATTTCGTACGGATTCAAAATGGACATGTCGAGACAATATTATTATTATGTAGAGTATGAGTTCTGAAAAAATATACCATTATATATTTAGGTACGTGTTTAATACGCGTAACGTCGAGTAACAATAACTTTGAACGTTTCCCAAGATTTCCTTGTCATAACGAACACATTTTCATTATTTTATTTTTTGTATATACCCCTTATATATATATATAGTATATTGTTTTACGTGCCATTTAAGAATTATATTTTACCCGTCGCCATCGCGGGTGGGTACTTAGCAGTCGTTAAGTGTACATTGCGCGGCGCTTCTACCGCCGCCGTTGTCGTCGCACGCGCGTTAAGTGTTATTGGCGACAGGGCAAATTATCATTATCGTCGTCCACCGCTGCAGGGTAGCTCGATGGTGATGGTCGAGGGGATGGGAGGTGGTGAAGGCGATTTGTAGTGCGGTTGTTTACCATCAGCAAATAAGAACAAAGAAGCCGTGGAAAAAACGCACTTAGGCACGTTCACACCTGTTCACACCGACGAAGAGCGCACGCAATACCTGTTGGACTTGCGTTGGTCTATTTCATAATAATAACAGGGTCTCGAGTGGCGGTGACGGTGGATAGGGACGTGAGTATGAAGAAAGCGGGGTAGGGGTGGGGGTAATGTAAAGAAACAACGCGAAATAGTGGCGGCGGGAGAAGGAGAAAAAAATGTGTGAAAGCAAAAAAGTATACTAATTGAGGTCGTCGTGCAAGTCGAGTGTACTCGTGCTGCACACAGCTATATAGTGTATCTTTTGTTAGCGTTTGTCGGGACGGGATGGTTATGGGTCTCAGGAATTGGAACACTCGATAAAATAAGTATAAAAAGACTACTAGCCACTGACAATAACCCTTCCCGTCAGAACCCTGCATGTCGCGAGAACCTAACAATGTATAATTACCACTCTATTAGACCGTTAGTATTTCAACTCACGTATTATAGGTGCGTATAATAATAATATGTACATACAGACGAAAATAAATGCTCTCATGCCTCTTAAAACTTTTCGGCCTCAGGATCTGAAAGATTTAAGCTATAAACTGTTACAAAAGACCGAAGAACATTTTATCTATTATTCATAATCCCATTTATACAGAACATTTACTTAACCCTCTCTCTGTTTGTACAACTTTCTTATACAGTTTACTGGTATAATTACATTACGTTTAAGACGTTAGACATAAATTACCTAGAATATTGGTGTAAGCGTGTGCAGATATTTTAAGGTATATAAGTTAATAAGGATAGTTTATAGAACGCATCCTACATCCGGCTGGGGTTTACTTTAAGGTTGGGGCATGCATACGGGAGAGGTGGTGGTTTTCGAGACAAAGGCGCCTGAAATTTTATATAGATGGCTAATCGTTTAAATAAATTATCCACACTATGGTGAACGCGTAGTCGCACAACGGTGTTAGGTAATAATAATATTATCGAGTTATCCACATATTATAGTTCAGTGGTAATAAATTTAAATTTAATATTCAATATTATTTTCATCAGCTGTAAAGATTATTCTATTTAGTTCATACACTATACGATTATATTAAATTATACTGAAAGATATTGCATTTATTATATTGTCATCGAAAAGATAATGATTTCTGGCATGATTATGTTTATGAACTAAATGCATGCAGTTAAATTCGACTTGGGAATTGGGATTAATTATTTTTCATTTGCATAATATTTGACTGATATAATATTGAATTACATTAAAATATACCCAATAGGCGTATGCAAAAAAAGATTTTTCAGTGTAGGATTATTAAATATAGGATACAAATATTGCATTTTAAATTCCTCTTAAACTTAAAACAAACTGATCGACATTATATTAGATTACTCATTAGTGAAAACTAAGACAAATCTTATTTTAAACATAATGTACAATTAATTTTTAAATTCTTCAAGTAAACTTATTCGATTTATTAAAAATCTTAATATGGTGGATATGACAATATATTTTTGTAAGTCAGTTACTCAAATTGATTAAGTAGCTATCATGTAATTGTCCCTCTTGTAATTGGCTTGTAAAAATATTGTATTTTTTTAACACATACCAAGTTATTTTAGGCCCTGTTGGTAATAAGTAATTATAACTCATCAATTATAAAATATTCCTGGTTTAAAAATAATAAAGGTGACATGTTATTTTATGGATTCCGCAATTATGAAATACAAATATTTGAGGATGGCTTAAGAAAAATTAGTTGTAAACTCTATGTTTTTAGTAAATATCATTATTATCTGTACTTTTCTTTAATACTTACCTCCTACTGCCATGTTTATTTTATGAGTTTTGTATCATTTATTAAAATATTTATTTATAATATATTTCAGATTGAAGACGATTTAGCAACATATGTTGGCGCCGGTTCCAAGGTGAAAGACATGACGGCTGTAAATACTGTAAGTATTGTAATTACTTTATAAAATAGTAAAATCTATTATTTATGTGAGCATTATTTTATTTTTTGTTTTAACCAATATTTCAAACACACTGAAATTCATGTAGTTTTAACTTAAAAAGAAAAAAACGCCGATCACCAAACAAAATATTTTTTAACAAAGCCTTCACGCATGTTAAAATATTGTAGGTGGCAGTATTTTGTAGTATTTGTGCATATAGAGGTACATAGAAATTTAATTTCTAAAGGCTTTTGAATTTTGTTCGATCATTATTGAGTTATAAATTAGAAAGTCGACCTTAACCACGCCATATTAACTCATTAATTCAATCAAATTAGTATTGTTAGTTCAAGCTATATAAGATTGGAGAAACTAACTTAACTGAGTCGACATACATGTAAGGTACCCCAGAAATGTAATTGGACATAAACTTTCCGGACTACAGTGACGTTATAAATATTAATATCATGCATTCAAGTCATACCATAAAACAAGAATGTACATCCTAGGATTGTTAAAAAAAAAAAAGGTTGCCGAGGTGCTTTTTATGTGAAAGAAAATCTAGTAAAATCAGAAAATGGCTGCATTTGATCTCAGGCAGAGTACTTTTTCATTCTACTAAAAAGCTTAATAAAAATAAATAAATACATAAGAATGGCCAACCGTTATATTATGTAAGTACGCCATTAGTCCAGTAATTTTAAAAAGTCTTTTTTTTAATCGGTCAATTGGGTTACTGCATGGTTTGCATATTATCCATTTATGTGCCTACGGTGTAGGAGGTATTGATTTTATAATTGGGTATGATTTTTAATAATAATAATTTCAAACACAGTTTTTATGGAAAAAAAGAGATGCAAAAGTTACACACTCCAGTCCATTTCACTACCTAATAACTTTTAATGAATTATGAGTGGTTTTACAAAAATAATTTATGTTCCAACTTCAAACTAGAACGTTAAATCATATATTAAGAACATGCCAATTCGAAACTAATTCTCGTTTATTTTTTAAATAAATAATAATTTATTGTTATCAACTACATTGTACAAAAAATACGAAAAGAGTTCAATTATTAAATAAACCGTAATAATAATATTCTCAGTAGTACTATAAATTACGTCAAAATAGATTACTTGGGAAATTAAACTTGTCCAATTCGCCTGCGCTCCAAATCATTGGATTAGGTGATTCAGCCAATCGTAAAACGATTTTCTTTAAATTATTTACCGTTTTTCCAGATTTTAGATAAAATTATTTTTTTTTTAATTTTGTACAAGCTTTTGGAAATCAATAACCACTTGTTTACATAACTAAATAATTATTGTTATTCATATACAAATCAATCGCAAACAATTGTAATACCTATCGTACGAAAAATAAAAATGTTTAAGATATTCAACATTAAATAATTTACAGAACTCTTTATACATGATGTATAGTGTTTTATTATTGCTAAAGGTAATATTTATATGGCCGTGTTATATTTAATAAGATTAACTTCGATTTACCACCTTAATAAATTAATCTTTAGGAGCTGAAACTTAAAGTTAACAACGATCAACAAAAATAAATGAAAATTTCATAATAAAAAAAGCTAAATAGGTAAAATAAAATAAATAAAAAACTACACAGGTATTTTTAGGACCTTTCTTTTGCAAAAAAAAAATTGACTCTATGATTATACGTAAGAAATCATTATGATAAAATGTATCATCCAATTAATAATATTATGTTTTACATTTTTTTCATAATGTAGTTTTATATTTCAAAAGAGTAAGTTTTTCATCAAGTTTGAAGTTAAATTGTTTTTGTTTAGCTAATTGGTAATAGTAAATTTTATTTTTATTTTTATATTGTTTGAAATTTCTATGACTACTTGCATAAATATTCACCAAATTTAAAATGTTAAAATATTAAATTAAAAATCTTGAAATGTTCTTTTCCGTCGATAGTATCCTATAATTAATGCCTAGAATTAATAAAACATTAAAATTTCAATCGTTGAGAATTGTGTTGAAAATTAGTATTTCAAAACTTAAACTAGTTTATAAATGTGAGAATTAATTTAGTGCTTTTGGAATTAGAAAATGTATTCAAAATCGACAGTGAAATAGCCATAAGTAAGTAGGAACTAGGCACATAAAGTATTTTAATTTTATATATTATTATTCCCAACCTAATCTAACCTAAATTAATCTAACCTAACTTACCTTATTATTTTTGATATATGTAGGCCTTTGTAAATACTTTTAAGGTTAAAAATTTACACGAATATTTCTATCAACCAAATTCTTCTTATAACCGTCGACGCAATTATTATATAATATAAAGTTACGAATTTAATAATATGATAACCCTGTGCTCACCCTGGCACTCACTCGACACCATGGCTTACACGATGCGCGCTCCAAAGAATGCCCCCTTTTTCATTATTCAAACACCTTCGGGAGTTCATTTTTTAATATTATGCTAACACGAATAGCGGCGCATCCATTTGCCGAAAATTAGCAGCTCGTCAAATTCCTTGAACCGCGAGAAGGGAGTGATGTCGTCGTTATAATAGAAAATGCCCGACATACTTTCATCATTATTAAATATCTCGAAATCACCTCGAGTGAGGTGCAGCAGCAGCAGCATCAGAATCAGCAGACTTGGCTATATTAATTTTTATATAACGCGTCACTTACTATTATTTTTTTTTCTCTGCTCGCAGACACCACCTCACTGTTTCGAAAAAAATAATACTCGTAATAAGAAGAAGTAAAGAAACACTGCGCCTCCGAATTTTTCACCTCTACGCCAAGTACCTGCCTGCCTATTCACATAAAATTGCATGTAATATTAAGACGTAGGTATATTGTATATACTAATATATAATTGTAGGTATATACGCTCCATGCGATACCGGCTATACTACCCTCTCGACGTTTTTTGCACACCGTTGCAGTGTATATATTATATTATATTATATACTGTGCACACAATAACAACATCTCCGGTGGTAGTTGACACTTAATTTACGAAGGATAATTTCCTCTTCTTTTTCGCTCCGCGCTTCTTATTACCATAATAATAATATCATCATCATCGCGCGGACGCCGGACGGTGCGCGGCGCTGCGTGTTCTCTCCATTATTGTCGGGGGTGAACAATGTATATATAAATATATGTATGTATGTGTGTATGTATGTGTGTGTGTAAAATGTGTACTTATATATATATATATAAGTATATGTATATAGACGAGAGTCGAAAATAACACAATTACCTAACGCGAAACAATGGCTCGCCGCCCGGCAGAGGTGGCGGTGTTTCGGGGTGGCGACGGCGGCGGCCGTGGGGGTGCGTGGCGATGTGGGTGGAAGGGTTCGCCTCGTTGGGGCGGCAGCGGCGGGACAAAGCTCTAGATTGCTTTTTTATCACTCTATATACACGCACAATATACAGCGCGAGTGGTGGAGGATCATCCCTGCCACCGGCACCCCGTCCTTCCGTGGTATATTATGTTCTGCAAGTGTGTGTAATGTGTATGTGTGTGGAGCTCGAGCTCGTTTGTGCATTGACTGTGGGGTAAAGAGGGGGGGGTGGCGAAGTACCGATTTATAGCGAAAAATGGTGAAAATCAATCGTCGGATTTTTGTATTACCCGCAGCAATCGTCGAAATGCGCGTTTTGGCGGTGAGTTTGAGAGTGTGTGTGTACATTTCTGTGTGTGTGGAGGAGCAGGGGACGCAGTGAAACGAAAAATGGAAAAAAAGAAGAAAACCAGCAACAAACAATAATAAATAAAATAATTCCACAGTGTATATACGCCCGTCATTTTTAAACTGGCAACTTGCATCGGCGTTTCCTATACACCACCACCGCCGCTCCGTCTTGGTTTCGCATTTCCGTTTTCGATCGCTTTTTGCCGAAAAATATGTTCACCATCCGTCTCCGTTTACTACGCGCGTATATATTATAGTCGCGCTTAGGCGTGTGTTGGTTCTAGAACTTTTTTTCATAATACAACAGGGTTGGAATAAAAAAAACCAACCCAAAAAACACCCACCGGGTTTTTATCATCAATACCCACTAAAAAACTTTGTGGGTTTTTTGAAATAAAAACCGGGCTATACTAGTTTTAAAAAAAGAGTAGCCATATATAATATATTTAATCGTTTTCAATAAACTATATTCTAAAACGTGGTCTTCTTCTTCTTTTCTTAGAGTAAAATACTTTTTTTAGATTTGTATATACATTTTTTAGAATGTTATTATTATATGCATATTATATATAACAGTATTATAATTAAGAACAATATTAAAACTATAAACAAATTAAATATTAAAGTTTTAACTTTTTTAAAGAATACAAATATAAAATACATTAAATATAAATGAATCAATAACAATAACAGTCCTGATAATTTTTGTTTTATTTTAAAAAAAAAACTTTATAATACCCACCAGGTTGATTTTTAATAAAGACTGTTTTTTCCCCACCCTATATTCTAATAAAAGTACTCATTGTTGTCAATTAGCTTGTTACTTCTTTTTTATTTTTATTACTATTATTATTATTATTACTAAAATTATCTTTCAAATCTTAATTTACGATTGCGATATTATATTATAAGAGCATTGAAACGCGAACAAAGTAAATCATTTTCATCATTCAGGAACATTGACTTTTCGTTAATGACTTAATTATTAATGTTTATGGGCATTGTATCAATAGATAACACATTTTCGATGTACCGACGCCTACCAAAACCTAACGGTTGATCGAAATATAAAATGTAATATACAGTGCACAACTGAGGGAAAATTCAATGTCTACCTACACACTCCATTGTACTCTAACTGTTCAATAACTCTACATACAAGTGCGTTTTATACTCAAGTGTCTTTTTTTTTTTTAAATTATGCAAAACAAATAATTTTGTTCATTGTCGACTATAAAAATGAGCAGAATAAAAAATATACGGTAACAATATTTTTAATATTATTATAAAT